TGGAGTGGCACAAAATGATTCTGTGTTTCTTGTAAAATTAAATAATTGACTCAAAAAGTTTTACACTCTGCTGAGGCACAAGGGAAGAAAAGATTTGTTCTTCAACGTCTTCAAGACTTTTTATCATCACCACTACAAAACGCTCATGACTATAAAATCTTTATTAATGATTTTAACATTCAGGCAAATTGTTGTTGTTCAGTCAGTTTCTCTCAGCCTGTCGTAACTCTGTTCCATCCGCAGTTCAAGCTCTCTCTCATTAAAGCACTTCAGGCACTCATGTCCCACACAGATGTGAGCTTTTATAAATTCGGCTTCATGGAGCCTCGCATGGGCTGAAGTGGAAATCAGTGACGTTTGATGTCCGTCAAAAACTCCCACCTCTACTCCGACTTCAACTCCAGAGTGTGTCAATGGCTGGAATTATGCTTACTGTATGTTTCGCTCACTGTTTTCGACTTTGCATTTTATGTAGGGATTCAACTAATGCAATTATTTTAGTAAATTGACATCTGGTCAGTTTTTTTGAGGATTAATCAAATTAGAAAAAATTGGCAGCTTCTGCAGACTGTTATTTTAACCAGTTAAGCTTATTTTATACAATATTATATAAAAAAAGACTTATTTATAAACTGTACTGATTAATAAAATAATAAAGTATAATTTGGTTTATCTGTCAGCACCTCTTTAAAATGAAAAAAAAATAGATTTATGTTTTCACAAGCAGAGAAAATAGAAAGTGTACACTGTGCGGCCTAGAGAAACAAAAAAACAAAACTCAAGAAAACAAAAGGAAGCCACCGTACAATGTCACATTCACATTAGTTCATGTCTTCAATGGTCGCCAAACATTTCTAGACACATTTAAAGCCTGACATCAACACAATCACACCTAGCCGGATGATCAAAGAAAGAAAAGGAAAGATGCATAGTATACAAAAGGAGGATGTTCTTTAGTTACGTTTAATTCTTGTTTAAATGAAAAGATATTTTGGTTTTGACAAGACACAACATTCTAGTCCTGGCAGCTAAAGGTTTCCATAGAAACCACTGAAGAGTTGTGTATTTACTTAGATTGAAGTGTGAACACAGATGGATTCTGTTGACTGATGAGGCAACTCCTGGTACCAGTGAGATCTATTAAGGGGGCAAAATACAGGGGCATAAAACAGCTTTTCAGTGAGAAAAAAAAAAAAAATCTTCACAGCACATTTTTGATCACACACCAAAAAAAAAAACCAATAAAGACATTGAGATCTGTAGTCTCAAGATGAAAAATTCAAACACAATATAAGAGGTTTGAGTAATCTTGCAAGACACCATATTCATTGGATATTTAGAAGTTTGAAGGAGGTTGGATTTTCTGTGCCTGATGTAATGAATTTTCCTCACACACGGTTGTTGGCTTCATATTTAAAAAGCTGGTGGAGAACAAACTCCAGTGACTGCACTGCTGATAAATTTGAATGTGAGCGCTCTTTGTCTTCTTGCAATCCAGAAAAACTATGGGGATTAAATTGTTGTTTACACCCCTGTAAAAAACAACAACAACAACAACAAAAAAGCAAACTGTGGATGATGTTTCAAAGGGCTACAGGTAGAAAAACCTGTTTCTGATACATGAGAAGAAAAGTCACCTCAAATAGTTTGGAGTAAAAGAGAAAAAACAAAAAAGAGATAAAAACTTATTGAACAAGATGATCCAAACCTGCTTCACCCCAGCCAGCACGCATGAGTGGGCCCCACTTGTGTTTGATGTGGGCTACATGGGTAATGAGTGGGCATGGGTTTTATCTGGGCGAACTGCATGGGACACATATGGTTAACCTAAAATGAGACCCATATGGGCTGGCCCATATGGGCTAAATGCATGGGCCCTATTCAGCAACTAGGTGGGCTATCTGGGAATGGGATAGTACTGGGCAACACTATATGGGGCCCATGTGGTTTCAGTATCATGGGCCCAACATGGGAGGCCCATGTGGGCAGACCACATTGAACCCACATGACATCAGCATGGGCTGACCATATATGGGTTAGACCTGGGTGTGGATATGTGGGCCCCAGTCCTTTTTTAAGTGGGCTATCTGGGAATGGGATAGTACTGGGCAACAGTATGTGGGGCCCATCTGGTTCTAGTATCATGGGCCCAACATGGGAAGCCCATGTGGGCTGACCACATTGAACCCACATGACATCAGCATGGGCTGACCATATATGGGTTAGACCTGGGTGTGGATATGTGGGCCCCAGTCCTTTTTTAAGTGGGCTATCTGGGAATGGGATAGTACTGGGCAACAGTATGTGGGGCCCATGTGGTTCTAGTTTCATGGGCCCAACATGGGAAGCCCATGTGGGCTGACCACATTGAACCCACATGACATCAGCATGGGCTGACCATATATGGGTTAGACCTGGGTGTGGATATGTGGGCCCCAGTCCTTTTTTAAGTGGGCTATCTGGGAATGGGATAGTACTGGGCAACAGTATGTGGGGCCCATGTGGTTCTAGTATCATGGGCCCAACATGGGAAGCCCATGTGGGCTGACCACATTGAACCCACATGACATCAGCATGGGCTGACCATATATGGGTTAGACCTGGGTGTGGATATGTGGGCCCCAGTCCTTTTTTAAGTGGGCTATCTGGGAATGGGATAGTACTGGGCAACAGTATGTGGGGCCCATGTGGTTCTAGTATCATGGGCCCAACATGGGAAGCCCATGTGGGCTGACCACATTGAACCCACATGACATCAGCATGGGCTGACCATATATGGGTTAGACCTGGGTGTGGATATGTGGGCCCAGTCCTTTTTTAAGTGGGCTATCTGGGAATGGGATAGTACTGGGCAACAGTATGTGGGGCCCATGTGGTTCTAGTTTCATGGGCCCAACATGGGAAGCCCATGTGGGCTGACCACATTGAACCCACATGACATCAGCATGGGCTGACCATATATGGGTTAGACCTGGGTGTGGATATGTGGGCCCCAGTCCTTTTTTAAGTGGGCTATCTGGGAATGGGATAGTACTGGGCAACAGTATGTGGGGCCCATGTGGTTCTAGTATCATGGGCCCAACATGGGAAGCCCATGTGGGCTGACCACATTGAACCCACATGACATCAGCATGGGCTGACCATATATGGGTTAGACCTGGGTGTGGATATGTGGGCCCCAGTCCTTTTTTAAGTGGGCTATCTGGGAATGGGATAGTACTGGGCAACAGTATGTGGGGCCCATGTGGTTCTAGTATCATGGGCCCAACATGGGAAGCCCATGTGGGCTGACCACATTGAACCCACATGACATCAGCATGGGCTGACCATATATGGGTTAGACCTGGGTGTGGATATGTGGGCCCCAGTCCTTTTTTAAGTGGGCTATCTGGGAATGGGATAGTACTGGGCAACAGTATATGGGACCCATGTGGTTTCAGTATCATGGGCCCAACATGGGAAGCCCATGTGGGCAGACCACATTGAACCCACATGACATCAGCATGGGCTGACCATATATGGGTTAGACCTGGGTGTGGATATGTAGGCCCCAGTCCTTTTTTAAGTGGGCTATCTGGGAATGGGATAGTACTGGGCAACAGTATGTGGGGCCCATGTGGTTCTAGTATCATGGGCCCAACATGAGAAGCCCATTTGGGCAGACCACATTGAACCCACATGACATCAGCATGGGCTGACCATATATGGGTTAGACCTAGGCAGGAAAATGTAGGCCCTACTTTTTTTTATGGTCTAAATGGGACAAAATTGTAGAACATTTTAATCGACAATGTGGTTACCCTGTCACTTTCAAATTTTTCACTGTATGTCAAAGCAAAAGCCAGTTCAGTATTGCTCTTGCTACACTTTGAACCCCTAACTTTTTTTTCATTTTATTATTGCAGTCTGAATGTCTTAAAACATTTTTTGAAATAATCTGTTTGAAATATATACGTAAACTCATATTCTGGTGCTTACTCAAAATTAAGCACAGAGTGGTCATGGTTGAGCTTTAGTCCTTGTTTTATTTTTAATAATAATAACTTTTATTTTATTTTATTATTATTTTTTATCAATTGGATGTTTAGACATCCATAGAGTTTACTGCAGCCTGTTCGCAGCAAGATTTAAATTTTATTTGGACAAATAGTTCAGATCAGACCATTGTGAAAAATATCACAAAATGTTTAGAAAATAAACAAAACTCATTAGCAAGTGAGAGACAAGAGTAAAATTTTGAGCATCTGTTTTTTCATATATTTGCAAACATTTTCCAAGTCATCAGTATAAATAAAAATAAAAAATAAAAAAATGTAACATTTCTGTTAATGATTCATTGGTTCCAATTACCTTTTTGTTCATTGTTTGCTCTGAGGCACCGTTGCCAATAAAGGTTGGTGAATTGAAGTACCGGTAGGCACTTTACACATCCACTGAAGAAAATAGTTCCAAAACATATTTGAATAAGGAGGACAACGAAATGTATTTATTTACATTGAGAACTTTTGCTACATCGGTTTTACATTTGTTAAACCGATGTAGCACTCTCAAAAATTAATCTTGTGTTTCTTGGAAAACGTAAAATGACCCGCGGATGGATATGCGGTTTCAAAATCAAGCCTGTTCTCTTCATCAGTCCGTTGGCGCGGAGTCTGCCTGTTGGCTGATCTACGAAAGAATCTGTAAGTACATTTCTTCTGTTTTACCTAGTACCAAATTTTAGGGAGAGATTTTAAATCGCTTGTTAAAAAAATTGTTGCTCGTAACAAATCGGACGACAGTATCCCAAAAGAGACTTAATTGTTATTGTTATTTTTGCTTTTCTTTAGGGTGATACTTTTTCTGATATTGCTAACACACACAGCTACACACAATAAGCAGATTTTAGTGCAGACCGATTTCAAACGCAGCGTTGTGGGCCAAACCATTTTCAAATACCGCCGCCATTCTATTTGTTGAGCTGCCATTGGTTCATTGAGCGCCAACGAGGCAGAATGAAATCGGTTCACTGAAGAATCTATGTTGCTAGCAGAGGTTGTTACAAAGTGTCTGGACACAATAAAACCATTTGTATGATTTAAAAAGAGTAACTATTGTGCTTTCATTCTATGTACTTGGGCTTTTAATAATCTTTCTCACAGTCACATCAGCATGCATGGGTGGGTCTCATGTATGGATTCAGGCTGGTTTGGCTGGGACCCATGCAAGATTATTATTGTCGTTTTTTTCAATAAAACTGCATTGAATCGTTTAGCTTTGGGCTATATAGGTAATGATAAGAGGGCATGGGTTTTATCTGGGCCAACTGCGTGAGGCTCATAAGGTTAACCGAAATGGGACTCATATTGTTGGCTCAATTGGGTTAAATGTATGGGCCCAATTCAGCATTAACGTGGGCTAACTGGGCATGGGACAGAAATGGGAACACTATATGGGGCCCATGTGGTTTCAGTATATTGGGCCTAAAAGGTTTTTTGTAAATAGGATGAAGGCATTGTAGTTCATATTTTTAAATTCTTTTTTTAATTGTTGTGTGACACTTTAAAGCGTTTTGTTATGTCATAGTTTATTTCAATCTGCCGCTATTGTGTTGGTCTAGAGTAGTCATCAGTGTCAGGGTTCCTGTGTGTGTATGTGAGTGTCGCATCTTATTTCAGCGAGGATCTTTGTGAGGAGCCCGTGGAGCTTGGCACAGGTGGAGGAGCAGCAGAATCTTCAGTCTACGCTAGATTGACTGAAGATTCTACTGGTGTATGCTAGATGGTTGCATACACCGGTAGTCACTCTGGCCTCTCCTGTTGTGAACAGTTTTCTGAGAACGTTTCTGTGTCTACTAGAAGTCACCTGGTCTCTGTGTTTGTTCGATCCTAGGGGTTTTGTCGCCTCATTCGAGAACTCACCAGTGAATACCTGCCTGCTCGCTCCGCCGATTCCACTGCCTCCACTCCACCCTTCGAGCTTCCAGCTCTCTTCCATTCCCACCTCGCATTTACCTTCAGAACCGCTGCACACCCTCTCTCAGGAACCTGGCATCTCACACCCACGCCTCGAAAGACCCGCACCGAAGTAAGCCTGTTCCTGTTTCCCCTCCGATCACTCATTCTAAGCCCGTCATAACTAAGTTCTCGTTTCAGGCCAACCTGGTCGAGTGGTCCTCACCCTTCCGCTGATGTCCGGGAAATAGATTTTATTTTGTCCTGTTGTAAATAAATCACTCACTCATCCCTATCCAACGTGTGGTTACTGCATGTGGGTCCGTAAATTGAAACCCATCATGTCAATCAGTGGCCAAGCCTGAAACAAATATTGAAAGATGAAGAAATTCTTTTTGATATTTTTGCAATATTTAGCTAGCAGTTATGTGAAATGTACTTATATTTAATTGTAGCTCTAATTTTTTTATATGTGCAATGTTTTAGGCTTTATTAGTTACATTTATAGTGATTTTCTAAACTTCTCTTAAGAGTAATACTACTGTCTTAGTCCTGTCACGTTAACAAAGAAATTAGGATAATTGCAAAACTGTTCAGTGTTTACAATATAAGGCTTCAGTAGTTAATCTATACAAAGGCTGTTTTGCCTTAATTTTTTTATTTTTTTGAAAAGTCTAAATGTTATATTGCACTAATAAAATATATATTTTTGCAGGCTTCAAGAGGATCAGCGTGTGAAGATCACTTTATAATGATTTGAAAAAGGTAGATTAATATGTTAGTGAAATTAAGCACATAAGAGTGATATAATGACAAACTGATGAACAAAAACAAAATGTTGTCCTGTTATTGTCATTGTACTTAAGGTTGCCATGGCTACAGAAATTGGAGGAGCATCCTTAGATGACACAATACAACCAGCTGTGCGATTCCTCATGTCCCATGAACTGGAAGTCCAGTTCAACCTTTTTGGCCAACATTGGAAACAAGCTCTTGGACCTGCGTCTCTTTGATGTTTTGTATGGTAAATATCAGTTTTTATTGTCAGAGTAACTTTTTTTTTTTCACTTTTCTTTCTTAAACATATGTTAATTTATTTTGGTTGTTTTATGCTTTTGTTTGTTATTTTTAGTAATGTTTTTAGATTAAAAATTGAGTCTTCAATTTTTGGTTTTATTTGAACAGTATTCTTTCACTGTTGTTAAGAACTTAAAAATTTGAAGGTAATATTGTTTGCATTTCAAACAATATTAAAATAACCACAAAACCACGATAGAACCTAGTAGTTGATTTATATAGATGGATATATTTTAAATTTACAGTAAGAATATAGTTTCTGTACATAATAATGATGACTCAAGAGTCCTTTTGATTATGGCATATCTCTGCAAGCATTTTTGCCCCATGAAGGGGGAGATGCAAATCTCATGAATGTTACATTGTGCTAAAATGAAACACTAATACAATTTCTACCTTTGCTTGTTATTTCAGGGGACTTAAAAGAAATTATCCATCTACAGAATCACACAAGCATACAGCAAAGACTCTCGAAGTGGTTTACTGGAGCCCGAGTGGAAGTGGAAATAGACTAGAGAGACTGCCAGTTCAAACTCAGGTTGGGGAGGTCTTTCAAGATGGACAGTTTCAGTAAAGTATGAGAGATTTCAAATTTAAGCATGCATATGGCATGTAGGTTATTTTTTAAAATGTTTAACAAAAATGTATTGTGAAAGATCTATATAGGTGTGTATATTCACATTGTGTGTATCAATGTGAATATACGTGTATAAAGTTATATAGATAGTATTTAGATGTATACATTTATAGACCTGTAGGAAAATATGTAGGTGTCTTTATTTGTGTGCATCTATAGATATATATTTATAGATCTGTTTATAAGTTTGTTATAGTAAACTAGCTTCTGTTATTTTCAAAGAGAGTGTGAATAATTGCAGATTTCTTTTTGTGGCACCATTCCCTGAGTATTAATGAAGTTCTAATAATTGCTGTAGTGAGGTAAAAAATAACTCCTGACAATATTTTAAATTACTAAATAAAAGCCTTGAGCAAAATAAATTTTTCATCTCTTTTTTTTTTTTTTTTTTTATTTGAACACGTTTTAAGCTAGACTTTGGATTGTTGATCAAGATTGCATATCTATGAATGTAATTCACATCCAGGTTAGATGAGAATTGTTCCTACAGGATTAAGGCATCTGGGCCCCACTGAAAGCCCAGTTAGCACCCATAAAAATCTACTTGGGCAAACCCATGTGGGGCCACCATGGAAACCGTGGACAAACCCACTTGTTACCCATATTCTAGCCCAGTTCAGACCCAATTGGGACCCACGTAAATATTCTTGACAGCACCCTAGTGGGCCACAGATGAGCCTCATGTAAGTTAACCATGTGGGACCCACTGAAAACCCAGTCAGCACCCATTGAAATCAACCTGGGCAAACCCATGTGGGGCCACCATGGAAACCGTGGACAAACCCACTTGGTACCCATATTCTAGCCCAGTTCAGACCCAATTGGGACCCACGTAAATATTCCTGACAGCACCCTAGGGGCCACAGATGAGCCTCATGTAAGTTAACCACATGGGCCCACTGAAAGCCCAGTTAGCACCCATAAAAATTTACTTGGGCAAACCCATGTGGGGCCACCATGGAAACCGTGGACAAACCCACTTGTTACCCATATTCTAGCCCAGTTCAGACCCAATTGGGACCCAGGTAAATATTCTTGACAGCACCCTAGTGGGCCACAGATGGGCCTCATGTGAGTTAACCACATGGGCCCACTGAAAACCCAGTTAGCACCCATTAAAATCTACTTGGGCAAACCCATGTGGGGCCACCATGGAAACCGTGGACAAACCCACTTGTTACCCATATTGTAGCCCAGTTCAGACCCAATTGGGACCCAGGTAAATATTCTTGACAGCACCCTAGTGGGCCACAGATGGGCCTCATGTGAGTTAACCACATGGGCCCCACTGAAAACCCAGTCAGCACCCATTAAAATCTACTTGGGCAAACCCATGTGGGGCCACCATGGAAACCGTGGACAAACCCACTTGGTACCCATATTCTAGCCCAGTTCAGACCCAATTGGGACCCACGTAAATATTCTTGACAGCACCCTAGTGGGCCACAGATGGGCCTCATGTGAGTTAACCATGTGGGACCCACTGAAAACCCAGTTAGCACCCATTAAAATCTACTTGGGCAAACCATGTGGGGCCACCATGGAAACCGTGGACAAACCCTTTTGGGACCCATATTGCCTGCCCACTTATATCCCATATGGGGCCCACCTAGGTGTGCTGGCTGGGACCTTCTGCGTGGCTTTCTACATACTTTCTGTATCGAACGGCAAATTTGTCTTTACTTTTTAATTTCTAATTTAGCTCTTTCATGGAAACACTGTCTTTTGTATTTCAAAAGAGACAAACAGATGCTTTTGAAAGCACTACCATTTCCAGGTGATTGAAATTGTACAACTTCTTTTTTTTGTAACACTAAGTTCGTCTTCAGCACAAAGGAAAGCAATTTGAAGTATTTTGTTTGTCCTAGAAAGACATAAAAAACAGATCCCTCCTGATGTAAGACTTTAATTGCTTTACTTCTCCTCTACAGGCAAAATAATGGAAATATGTTAAAGTTCTACGCAACAAAGCAAAGCGTTTAAGTCAGACGCAGAGACTCGTCTTTTAGTTGTGAATCTCAGCACAGTCAAAGATCTTCTAATTTCTTGGCATTTTGTGGAACCGCTCTTAAAGAGGCATTTTTGAGTTTTAATTGGAGAGAATTGTTCCAAACAGATGAAGACTTGACTGTCAACAAAGTTCAAATTCAACCTCGAAGCGAGGCCATGTCAGAATTCTTATGAAAGTCAATCAAGTGCTTTACAGAAAAAAAGAAAAGAAGACTTGGAAAACATTTACGCATATCAGCTGACACAAAGTTTTTATATTTTGTGCTACAGCTTCCAGGCGTGTCCCTGGTCCAACACGTCTTCATGAAACGGCTGAATTACCCGTTCAGTATGCGGTCAAGTTCTTTAGAGTTCTACTAATGACCTGATTGACTCTGGTGCGCCGAAGCAGAGATGAGTCTAAAATCTGCAGGACACACCAATCCTACAGGCCTGGACAGATCTAACACCATTTACGTTACAGTGTACAACTCATTAGTGCAAACGACTTTATGGTTTGGCGCCAGGCTTCATACGAATCAACAAGTCAGCTTGTTTGCTACGGAGATGAGGAGTGCATTTCTGTTTTCATTGCACCTTGTGCAGGTTTGAAGAAGGACTACAAACACTTGGTGTTTTGGATGCTGTTAAGTCAAACAGTTTTTGGTCTTTGCTCAGCCACGAACCCCAGAGATTAACTGCCGCCATGATGGATAACCTTTTCAACTCTCTGCTTGCTCCCAGAAGTAACAGGAGTAGGGTTGAAGAGGCATCCATTCCTTTGTGGAGAGATTATCTGCAGGGTGCAGAAGCTACTTAGCAAAAAATTATCTGTTATAGGCAACTGATAAAGTGCGACAGGGTCTCTAAATAACCATAATTTTGCCAAATATAAACCTTGTAGCTCTAAATAGGTGAAGAGGTATTGCAATTGGAAGATTTTGGGTTTGAGAGACAGAGAAAAGAATATTTCCAAGCAAAATATTTCTTAATGACTAAAAGTACTTTTACTCATACAATGCCCATCTTTCCCAGGGTATGCTGATAAATGCAAAGTTCCACAATTATAAAGAAATAAATCAAATTAGTTGCAAATGAGGTCAGATAGTCTACTGCCTCACTGCACTGTTAGAAATAGTACGCTGATTTCCATGTGGGTGGATTAACTGAAAAGTGTACATTTTCATATGTCCGTCTGAAACAACCAACTGACATGTCGTCCTGGAGCAAATACAACCTGCAGGTAATGATTTCCAACATTTCTTTTCCCTTTTCTCCCTCTTTCAGGCAAAAAATTCAATCCTCATCTATAAAAATTGATTCCTGTCACATGGAAAGAAACATCTGCTGGTGAGCTGAAGGTCACAAATTCCAGACAGATTCTTGCATGTCTCTCTTTCTCTCTTTTTCCCCCCCTCTCTCCTCTGCAGGCAGTATTGATTTGTTCCAGGCCTATTAATCCTGACAAGATTGTTGCGTACTGAAAATGCATCTCGAAATGCGACCTCGCTGAAGGAAGAGAAACGGCTGAGCTGCACAAAACACCTCGCAGTAAACTTACAGAAGTAGGCTATTATGGTTGGATAAGCTTCAGGTTTGTGAATGCTGAGCCTATTTCTTTACACAAAATTTTATTCAAATATAAGTTAAATAAAAAACTATGTATGAAGTGGCAATGTTTATTTTCTTTTAAATATGTTCTCTTTTCAGATATAAATAATATTTTAAAGCCTATAACTTGCATGTTAACTTATTGATGATCCTTCATGTTTTAGTTCTTTCGAAGACAGCTGGATGACAAGGTCCAACCGGATCACATTTAACAGGTCTGTAAAAAAATTTGATCTTAAAAGAATAACAATGTATTGGGAAGGAGGTAAGCTATGCTAACTTGACTTTGACAACCTTAACGAGCGGTCGGTTCAGTTAAACATGATCAATAAGATCAGTAAGACCAGGAAGCTGGAAAACATCAAACTGTAACCGGCTGAATTTTCTGTTTCTGCATTTTAGGTTTTGTTCTTTGTGTGGAAAATGTTTTGCTTGTTTGGTGTATAATCTCTGCTCTGTCTGGTGGTGGAGCTGTTGTCGGTCAGTTGGCATGACAACGGGTGTGTGAAACCAAGCAGAGCATGAGTAGCTTTGAGTTGTTCACCTGTTTTTCACCTTCATTTTCCCATCTTACCTCTGCAGCCACTGTAGTTTCTGAAAGGCCAAAAACTGACAAAAACTGGATTAACTTCCTTATTCCTTTATAGAATGTCATAATATTCACAGCAGCCATAAGATAGGATAAAATGTTCCATAAAGTATACAACAATGCAAAATTAAATTGTCCAACAGAAGCAAAATTGTATAAAGTTCTCTGTTGTATCTCTGCAGAGCTGACAAATCAAACTGTTTCATATCTTGGAAAAATATATAGTTTACATATCAAACATAGGCAGTTTTCTCATTTTTAAATTATGCCAGATTTTGTAGAAATCAGTTGAGAATTAAAGGGGCTCCTGCTCATCCCACACCACAACGTCATGTGTCTCACGTCACTAGCAGTGGCGGCTAACGGACCCTGTCCAACCCAGCAGAATCCATCTGATCCGTGCGATACCATCAGCCTGTTCTGAAACATGGCAGTGGTGCCTGAGGATCAGGACTGGGAAAGTTTCTTGTGTCGCGTCACTAGCGAGCATCTATGTATGTGAGCTTGAAATGTTCAAAACCATGAATTTCGCCAATCGCTTTGCTGGAAGAGGAAGGTATAGAAGATAACGGCGACACAGGAAGTCAGGATGGAAGATAGTGGTGGAGGAAACGAAGGAGACTTCAATGGAGAAGGAGTAAAAAATCAAAGTGGGGACAAACATAGATCAGCGGGAGATAACTTTAAATCAAGAACAAATAGCAAGTTGAAAATTCACCCTGGAAATAAAATGAAAAATCTAAACCTAACTCAAACAATGAACAAATTGAAGG